ATAAAGCAAATGTATTTAAAAACCATTCATTTACATCTTGTTATCAGGATGGCAAAACTCATCATATTAGTATTGCAACCGACCAGTTACTCTTTATAAGTTCATGATTTGAAATACTCTTCTTTAATTTGACACTTTAGTTGACAATGTAGTTTGAACAATTGACCGTGTTAAGTGTACTGTGTACAATCAAACTATATTTTCCTATTTGCAAAAGTTAAAAAAATCTGCTTCTAAATAAGTCTTATTTTTTTTAAATACATACTTAAAATAATAATTGCATGTTAGCACATTTGGTTTACAATCTTTTCATTACTGAAGTAGTTCTTTTTGATTACTTGTTACATTGTTGATACATTTCAGACACTTTGTCAACTCAATATATGGCCATACATGTTTGTACTGAAACAGCCTACTGCTTCTAAAACAGCCGACTCCATATGCAGTGAAAGTCATTACAACACAGTAAACGAGCATACATTTTTATAACATAAGTGTGGTGCTGCACTAGTGTGTTACACATTAAGTTATATTTTTAAGCAAAGTATTTGTATGGTATCCAAGCATAGTTCTGGTATCATGATGTTCAACTAAAATGTGAACAAAAGTTGGAAACATGACATTTTAGCATTTTTATTTATTAATAATAATAATAGGGATGTCCACATACCAGTTCAGATACCAGTGCCGATACTTGGCATTTTCACAAGAACTACCAGGGTTGTAGTGGTCGCAGCTGGGACCTGGCCCTGGCACTCCACCACTGTCCTGAAATCATTATGACAATAAATAAAAATGTTCCAGTACTTGTGTCTGTAAATACTTGGGCAAGTATCAGTACTTGTACTTGGAAAACTGGTATCTGTGCATCCCTTATATATATTTATAAAAACAAAATCATACATTAAAACAGAGATGTACGAATCCCAGGAGCTCCGTGTGCTCCTTACAAATGACAGCGGCCTCCAACCTTTAGAATTTTTCTCTAGTCTAGTCTTGGAGCTGGAAAAGTATCTGCACTTGTACTTATACTTGTAATAAGTACGGTACTTGGTATCGGTGCATCCCTAAAATAATAATTTATTTAATAAAAACACATTCAATGGAGCTCTACAGAGAACATGAATTCATTTAGTTTGTCCCATTCCTCAGTGGAATTTACATTCAAATGTTTTCCCCTAATTATTCAAGCAGCACATTTTCTTCATGTGTCATTTCCTGCATAATTGCAGGTATCCGGGATTCTGCTCTTATTTACTAGATTATATCTATTTTCATGTGTCAGTTCAAATTGGTACTTGTTTGTATTTGCAGTTATGCTATTAAGCCCTATGACATTACCCTGAAAAGGTTCTTAATCCATAAGTATTAATTGATAGGTGTAGACCCAATTCAAATTCACTTTGTTGACTGTAGGCCAGTACAAGATGGGGTTTTTTTGGTTGCCATGGGTTCTTACACTTAACAACCAACTGTTGGTTGGGTAAGGTCAACAGTAAGAAATTATTATTATCATTATAATACCGGATTTGTATAGTGCCAACAGTTTGCATGCACTTTACAATAGAAGTTAGAGAATACAGCTACAATACAAATCAAGACAAGATATTAAAGAGGGCCCGGCCTGTGAGAGCATCAATCTAGAAATTGTAATGTGGAGACCACCAAGCCTAGAGGGGTGTAAAAGGCACATGTTATCCTGGAAGAAAGTTCAGTTCTGGCAGATGTTAAAAAAAACTAATCCTAAATCAGCCCTCACATCTATGTTTGCAATTTTGCAAAAAAATACAAAACCTAACAGGTTCATTAGACACCAATGAGGACTGAACCGCGGTGAGGATGCTTACAGTGCAGTAGCCCACACCAAGCAATTTGATTTGAATTTAGCTGAAGACAGATCAGAGAAGAACAATTCTTATTGGTTACTAAGGGGTTCTGTATAGTTCACCTTGCCTCAGTGTATGGCGGATCAGTATCTTTAGAACCGCTTTCTGTGCTCTCTTCTTTTGGTGCGGCAGTGCCCCTTCTGATCCACCATTGAGGTGAGGCTTGAAATCACTTCATTCAAGTCTCTCCTCCATGACAGATTAGAAGGGGCAGTGCTGGGAAAACAAAGCAGCACTGGAGAATGATTTGAAGCCTCACCTCTGCGGTAGATCAGGAGGGGCGTTACCATGACAAAAGAAGAGAGCTCAGAAGTGTGGGGTGTGTGGATGGAGAACTTCTCCCGGGAGGGGGGGCAACTCTGAGTCTTTTCCCCGGGTGACTGAATGTCTAGCTTCGCCTCTGGCTTTCAGAATACCCCAACAGAGCCACTCTGGCTCATTGGCTGCCGCCTCTGTTTGAACAAAAATGTTCCAACCGACTCCTTCAATCAGCTGATCAAGGGATGCCGGCCGAAAGGGTGCTAACAGCGGCTCTCACTATGCGAAATTCGCACAGTGTATGGCCACCTGTAGTCTTCTTGCAAAAAGAATTGATAGCTGGGATGGATCTTCCAGCTGAAAAATATTGTGTTTACCCCCAATAAGACCAATGCCAAGGGCATAATGCTGCTCCCCTCCCTCTTCTTAGGCCCAAACACACATTCAACCAATCCAAAGGAGCATGTTTGTGTGAAGATCTTTAATCAGTGGTTAAATAGTGCAAGCACATCCAGCTCCTATATAATATTTATAAATTGGACAAGGCACTGAAATCTGAATATGTAAGAAAGCATAAGTACTTGTTCACATAAAATGCAGACCAGATCTGCATGAGTTTCTGCACATGCAGTGCAGTGTGTCTTGCCACGTTTTTCATTTCCAAAATATTTTATTGGTTTTACATAGCGTTACTGAGATAACAATAATCACGTTGTAAAGAACATAAACAAAGTATAATCGCAGAACAGAACCAGAGTATTGAGTGTATAATAGCTTATATAATTGTCATAGATAATTGCCTTGCTTCCCTGCGAGGAGGCATTTTGTATGTCTTGCCACGTTTTTGAGGCATTCCGGGTCGGTTCTTTTTTTTTTAGCCTAAAATGGGATTTCAGTGCGTTCCAGGGTGTTTGCATGTGTTTTTGATGCGTTTGCATGAGTTTTGGTGTGTTCCAGAGCAGAAAAAATAGGGCATGCTGCAGTTTTT